GACACTCATAGACATTGTTCAGAATGAGCGAATCTGGTTCTTCTCGATCTATTCCCTTCAAATCGAAGAAACGACTAATGGATTCACTCGGTTCAAAATCCAAACCCGAAATCCCTAATCCGTCTTCTGTAGCTTTACCCACGCCGGAAAAACCTCCGGAGAACTTATTCACTAGATCCAGAAACCGATCTGTTGCTTTATCAGTGAAAGAGATTCGTCAAGCGGCTGGATCTCGTCTCAGATCTGAAGATCCAGTGGGTAAAGTCCCATCCGCCAAAAGCAAGCTCGTTTTCTCATCCAACGATTCGTCATCTTCTCCTTCCAAGCGAGTATGCACTAATAAGAATCCAGAGAAAGAGCAATTACCTGAGAAGTAAGTTTGATTTCTAGGGTTCTTAAAAAGTTTCGATTTTTTCCCCTCTTTTCAAAATGGATTTGTTGAATGAGATTTGGGGTTTTTTTTTTTACAGGTACGAAGTTCTGGGTAAGTTCTTCGATGCGTTGGATAGTTCGATTTTATTGTCGAAATTGAGAGGTTCTAAGCCGACATTTCTCAACATTTCAAGGAAAATCGAACATTTAACCGAAAGGTATTGATTTCAATTTGAATCATTTGATTGTATCTGATCTGAGTAATAAGACAATTTGGTTTCTTTCCCTTTATGCTTTATATGTTTAGATAAGTCAAAAAGTATTGTTTTTTTTTTAGATCTGGGTCTTTTTATTAGGATTCACTAATCAAGTCCAATTTCATGAATCTGTGTCTGATGTTAGATCTGGGTTTCTTTGATGGTCTAAGAGTTTTGTATATGAATCTATTTCAGGAGGTTTTGTTACAGTCATTTGGGTCAATTAAAGCATATATTGCCAGAGGCAATTGAGATTAAGAGAGTATTGATACATGATGAAACTACTAGCTGCATGAAACCGGACCTTCATGTTACACTTAACGCGGATGCAGTTGAGTACGATGACAAGTCGAAATCAGAAAGTAAGAAAATCGCACTTCGGAAAGTGTTTCGAGCTAGACTTGCAGAATTTGTTAAAGCTCATCCTCAGGTATTGTAACCTGTGATGCATTCTTTATATGGTTCTGGTGGTTACATTGTGTGATTTAATACTTAGTGAGGTTTTGTTTATCTGTTTTAGGGTGATGAAGTTCCAGAGGAACCGCTTCCCGAGCTATATAACAGAAGGAAACCAAATGAAGAGTCCAATCTCGAGGTTAAGAATGTTGGTTCTGTCATGGAAGAGATGGCTTCTATTTCAGCAGCTACATTGATTTCGTATCCCTTTAAAATCGCATCGACTCCGGTCAAAACAGCTTCAAGTCTGGCTAAACCAACTTCGTCCGAGATTAAGAATACGTCAACACCAGTAAAACCAGTGTCTACTCTGTCTGAAGTACCTTCAACCCCGGCTAAAATGAACTCAATACCAGTTATTGTTGCTTCCACTCCGCCTGAATTTGCTTTGACTCCTGCCCGGCTGGTCAGTACTTCACTAGCAGTTCGTTCGAAGAAAAGAAGCAGCGAATCTGCAAAGCCAGATGATGTGTCTGTCGACCCACTGACTAAGTTGGCAAGGCGCTTAACACCTAGGCCACTTAAATTTGATTCTTATACAAAGGACAAGAAAGCCATGGATGTGACAGATGTTGAAGACATTGATCAAGTACCAGAGGAAGAAGATGTATCCAGCGATGATGACTTAAGCATACTACCTGATAAACTTCGACAATCGGTAATACATTTTGCTCTCGTAATTACAGTTTGAGATTAAGAGGAACTAACTGAGATTGGCTTTTTGCTTATTGATATATAATTCATCTTCTTATTTGTTCATTTTCAGATTAAAGAACAAGAGAGGAAAGCAATCGAGGAACAAAATCCAGCAATCTCACAGGCAAAGAGGAGGCGAAAGATGATCGCTTGTCTACCTAAACTTTTCAATGTCATCCATTACTTAATTCAATCGATAAGGCGTTGGGTTATCACAAAAGAAGAGCTCGTGCACAAGATAATCGCGGGTCATGCTGATATTACGGACAGAAGTAAGCTCTCTAACCGCTAAACTTTACATAAGTTTTTAAAACCGTCCTAACCGTTTTTTTGTTCACTTACATTTTGCAGAAGAAGTTGAAGAACAGCTTATCTTAATGCAAGAGCTTGTCCCTGAATGGATGTCTGAGAAAACATCATCGAGTGGAGATTTGCTAGTATGGTGAGTGTACCTAACAATATACACATATTTTACACACTTTCTTCCTTCAAAGTTTGTTCGATTACTCATGTAAACTTCTTTGATTTGCAGCATAAACAAATTGGCGTCTCCAATAACTATTCGGTCGCGTTTAGAAGAAGAAAACAAGCAAGCGATGGCTTCACCGGCTTCTTGAGATCTCGCGGTTTCATCTGCTGCGGTTTTATAACTTCTTATAGTACTATTTAGCAAGATGTGCGTTTAGAGAATAGTTAGCTTTGAAGTTTAATGTAAAAGGAGGATGAGTAAGAAAGTAGATGACAGACTATTTAGCAACATGTTTTTAATCTATTTTCGACCAACATTATATTTCTCTAATCAATAAAAAAGAGTCATTTTTTTAATATCATTAGTAGCCTGCATTTTGTATCAGAAAGCTTAGTTGAACCTTTTTTCGAAAATGTGTTTATGTTTTTCCTAATTTCAAAGTGTGATTATAGATGTGTCAATTGGGGATGTCAAACTCCAATACTTCATTTTATGTCTCTGACTAACAAAAAAGTAAAGCAGAGATAGGACCATTGTTTTGGGCCCAAAGAATCAAAGCCTGATCGGATTTCAGACTTTCTTTTGGGGTTATTAGTTTTATTGGGTTTTGAACTGCTTAATATTTTTGTTGTTATTCAATTTGTTTTTCCTCAACTTTTCTATTATCTATTTTTGAGTAATGATATTTCATCAGGGTTAGACTCGCAGCATATACTTTAGTGAATTCTTTATTCAATTTGCAGGATATTTCAATCTATATATAGTTGCAACTTGTAACCATAATTCTAATACCAAAAATATTTACGTTTCTACTTAATCGGAATAGTTGACTAATTGAAAAAAAGAATGTCATAACAACAATAAACAACGATATAATTTGAATCGAGAATTTCTACTACTTGAGTTATAGATTAGCAATTAATACAAGCTATATTAATTCGCTATTAAACAACTAGAGGCCGGTCATCTTTATTGACTATACTCATCTTATTTGTTACAAAGCTCCACTTTACTCTGTCAAATGCCATCAATACTCATGATTAACATAATACTATATATCTACTGTTATAAATCAAATAAGTGAACTGACAACAAAAAAACAAATAAGTGAATTATATACAAACAAAAAGTTAATTTAGAAAAGGATAGGCATATTAATACACTAAGAAAAAAATGAAGGATCAAAAAATATATTATATATATATC